AGGGTTGGTTTTTCGCTAACTTTGGAAATTCGGCAAAAATCACTCTTTGCAAACCAGCCCTTGAAACTTATAACTCAATTAGAAATGCAAGTAAAGTTTTGGATAGAACAAGCGGCTCAAGAATCGGAGTTTCGAGTACCGAGATACGGTAGCTCGAAGTTGGGGAAAATTCAAGATTGTTACAAAATTTCCAGATTTGGTTCCAACTTTGGACCTTTAGTTAAGTGCCGAAACGGACTTGGATTGACACCAAATTTTGCAGTATAAAACTTCCATATGAAGGTTATCTCTCTATCAAATTTCATGGAAAAATACGCTCGGAAGGGTGATCATTCAATCAACCAAAGTTTGGAAAAATTCTTAAAGCAATCTGTCTAAAGCTAAGGTTTTCAAAAATGAGGCAGTTGCCGTGTATTGATCATAACTCCCTCAATTTAACTCGGAATTGGAAATGGTTGAGAGTGTTAGAAAATAAATTCATAGGGCTACAATTTCACAGAAGAAATCGTTTTAAGTTTCAGCATGCAACTGGTTCAAAATCAAGCCTCAAGTTGCAGTATCATCAAATCATTTCGGCAGAACGGAGAAAAAGGACAGCCGACTTCAGATGAATGGTGTGGCTCACACACATAGAACCAGAATGTTCATTATATACCGTTGGAAACATGGGAACGTCTAGTTTCAAATGCCGCTGACGGCACTTGATTTCAATGTCGGAGCACGGAGTTATGGACAAAATACAACCACTGGTCTGGATTACGGCGAAACCGTTTTCCAGATTACCAGTTTTCGAAATAATTTCGTTTGAGCAACCAAAACTCAATATTTTTCAACGAAATTTTGTACACAACTTCTACAACATGTAAACAACATAATCAAGCCTTTAAATCCTCAATTATCTGCAGTAAAGTGACCGAACAGAGCAGGGTTAAAATCGGAACTTTTTGCTTCAAGAACTCAATAACGTTTCTGGAAATAATGCACCTTTAATCTACTTCCTTAAGCAGTATTTCGGCAATAAAACCATCATCAAACATCATCACAGCCATCAAACCAAAGTGGGAGTTCATAGAGCCCACATTTAACAATTTCCAACGATAATAAGTTACCCATAAGCATAATCAAGCTCTTAAGTGTAAGTTGGCCTTTATTGAACAAGATCTGAAGAGTGGATCATGGTTACCTTACTTGTGTGCTAAAAAGTCAGATTTTGGTGCCCCTAAAACTCCAAGAAGATCCGTGAATGTGCAGCTCTTTCTTTGTCCAAGTGATTGTCCAAGTTGTCTTGAGCTTGTGTGGTGAATCTATGAAGGTTTGGCAAGATTTTTGAGGTGAAGTTTGTAGAAGAAATGTTTGAGAAGTTTTCGGTTGTTTCCTCTGCAGCAGCTGGCCGACCATGAAGCTAGAAGGAAAGGAAATGCGGTTTTTGGTTTCCTTTGCGTACGAAAGACGCTTGACGTCTATTATATTAAATACGTCAAATCAATTATAACTAGTGCCCTACGCGCGCGTTTTGTGTCCGATTTCTCTTACGTTTGTTGCACTAGTGCACTAAACCTCTAGGGCCCTTACATTCATATAAATATTATTCATTCTTAATTGTCCCAAAATAATGGTCCAAAGTCCCTCAATTAAGCGCGCACGTGAAAACACGTATTTCTAATTTAGGCGCAATAAAAATTAAAACCTTTGAGAAATTCTTATAACAATCGTACCACTAGTTATCACTTGAGTACTTAAACCTAAAATTGCCTATTTTAGGACCATTGTATATGTCTCAAATTTTTGAGTTTATTGTACTCCCAATTGGCTAAAGTGTTTAGACACGTTTTCATTTTTTCGCTAATCAAGCTTTTAAGAAAATAATTTTTGAAATGAGGCGCTTTAAAAATATAACGAAACTATAAAACCATGTACTTAGGTCTAATAAGGCTAGAAAATATTATTCGGAATAAATGGGCAATTAAATATACAAATGAGCTCAAAAATAGGAATTTAAAATAATAAATTTCGCGAGTCCTCACAGGAGTCTAGTACTAATTCCTCAATTAACCTTTCTTAATCTATTATTAATCATCTTTAATTCTCCAATATTAATACACTCCTTATTCAAGTATAGCCTCGAAAACGTGTACTTGTTATTTCGAACTAAACGAATTTCTGAAAAGTGAATTTTCCAACAAAATGTTTTAAAATTATAAAGAGGCGTCATTCCATATAAATGAATTTAAAATGGTCGAAATAAATAATTCGAAGAAAATGAGTGAATAATCTTTTAAATATTCCAGTAATATTCTATAAAAATAAGAAAATTTTCGGGTCCTCACAGTTACGCACTAGCAGGACCAAAATCCCTTTCCTCAAAATTTTGTCTAAATCAAACCAATCATGACTTACAAGATAAGGTCAAGACTTTTGATGTATTTTGAATGTATCTGTGGCAAAATGCGATTCAAAATTTTCAAAATTAGAGTTAAAGATACAAATTTTCTTCACGACCCAAAACTAAATTTTCTTAGTAAGAGATTTCAAATAATGTTTAACCACAATCATCAATACATATTTAAAATCTCTCAAATAGATTTAAGAATATTAATCATGCAACTTAATGCATGATTTTTAAAACATATACATAATAATCATAACATATACATGGAGGGTGTTCCAACACTTTTCCTCAAAGTTTCGAGTTAAATCTATGTTCGAGTAAGGCGTATATTTTAGAAAATACCTTTAAGAAAGATAGGTAAACATGTAGGTTCATATTCGCATAACCTGTAATTCAATACCTTTACCACCCTTTTATCCAACCAAGAGTTAACTCTACTGGTACATAAAACCCGATCATTTCTAATATCTGATTCATAACAAATAGGCATTCATGTTCCTAAGAAAGATTCGAACTTGAACTCTATCTGATTTCGAGTCTCAAACGAGTTCAAAATGTGTATACATACATATATATATATATATAAATTTTGTGAAAAGTAAAACAAGTGAATCTAGGTATAGTATTAGTCAAGTAAAATTGAAAGCGCTTTTGTTCAAGTAGAACAAATTGGTAATGAGTTCAGGTCATCTCACCAAACCCACGAAATACTTTTGGAGTTCAAACTTTCACAAAAGTTGAAATATGGCCACAGGACCAATCATAATATACGTATAAAGCAGTTATTAAAATTTCACACAGGAAAATCTCACTAAGTTCCCAACTAGGTTAATCCATTATACACTGGTAGATCTAATCTTCTGATTTTTTTCTCGATTCATATTCAATGCTTGAATCTCATTAAATTATATAAGGCTATCCATCAATTTTTCTCACGAGTACAGGATTGTCTAAGTCCTCGGCCACGACCCCTTTTTCCTATTCCTGCTACCATACTTAATAGGAGTCTATAAGCGCAAGAAAAAGAATAATTAATCATAAAAGAACTTAATGCATATACAAGTTGCAAAAATATTTAGAATCAAGACATGATTCTTTACATGTATCGAAAGTTATAGTACGAGTTAAGAAGCCACAAAACAAGCCCAATATGTCAAATACTATATATAGGCAATTAAGGGTCACAAAATGTAGAAGTATATGCAAGCGGGATACAAAAGGTCTCACGGCATGCACCACCCTTCCTAAGTCCTTAATTAAACCAATGGGTCCGAATATCACTAATTCCAATCAGATCACATGCCTTTACGAAATTAGATCCAATCAAACCATAACACAAGCGGAAACCAAAGGTTATCCATTCGAAATTCAAAATCTTTAATAAGCAAGCCACCAACCAGAGCACCATCATCTCCAAGAATAACTAGTCTTACGGTTTTATAGTTAAAGTCTCAATCTCCAAGTTCAAACCCAAGAAATAAGTACAACTTGCTAACTTACGTGTCAAATGGAAACCAAATCAATTCACACTAACTGCGTGTTCTTGAATGTGGTTACTCTATATCTCAAAGTTCCCTCAATCCGTACACCTAAAGATAGGCTCACCCTTCTTGAAAACCAAGAATTTTAAAAGATAAGAAGAGTATTTAAAGTAACAAAAATCTTATCAAGTTCAAGATTTTCATTATAAAAACATAAGTTCGCCGTTCTTCAGAAAATTCAAGATATTTTTATTATTATTATTATTTTTTTTTTGTAAAGCATAGATGAATTCAAGTGTGAGAATACACCAGTATACAATCAAGGGGGAAAATCTAGTTTAAAAAATTTTAACCTTGTACCAGCCCATCACATACAAAATTTCAACAAACTCATCAGTTATTCACAAATTTTTAAATTGAAATTCAAGTAAAATTCACATATTTACCAAAATCGAATAATTACACATACTTAAAGCATATATATATTATTTCCAATTATCGTTTGAAAATAAAACTAGTACATCCCCATTTTTCTTTTAGAATTTCAAAGCATAATTTCTCTAGGAGGTAAATGAGCAGAAAAATGCATTTTATACCTTTGAAACTCTTTCATCTGGGTTCACAATCACGATACATGGAGTTTGACCATCAAATCTCGGTCTCTTATCTGCTTTAGCCAACACTAATAATTGTCTCACTTCTTTCCACACTTACATGTATAATAATAATTCAAATTCGTCCAATCTTTCACTACTAATCTCTCATCCCATATTTTCCTTCAATATAACATCAACTAATTCCTCAATTTTTATTTCTACAAGTGCCAAGTAAGAAACTCTCAAGTAACCAATTTTTTTAACCCGTAGGATACAATAGACCCTCTAGTTCACATAATATTCAAATTAATCCCACAGTCAGGCATCCTAAACTTTAAGCCTAGGATACACTACAAGATCTAAAGTCTATGCTCTGATACCAACTGTGACGCCCCCACTTCTCCCTAAGGCGAACCAAAGAGTATTCGCGGGACGCCTGCTTAACTCTCGTCAGGACTCAAGTAATTCCATTCAAGCTTATTATCGCTCTACCCAACACACGTAAATAACTTAAATACAGAAAATGCGAAAGCGTTCAAGCTTAACAATAGTCATCCATTATCCAGCCCGCACGTCGGGTGTTCAACGTACATCATAATTTCCAAATATACCTCACGCCCCAAAAGTTACATTTCAATTCCAAAAGTACAACCCAAAACCAAGGGCATAGCCAAAATATAATAGAAATCCTAAACAAAAGCTCATCAGGAGGTTTTTTCCAGTACGCCTCCGAGTTCAAATCTGTTAAGGAAAACAAATCTATAGGGTGAGCAAAACGCTCGTGAGGCCAAGAACACACATGCAGGTACATAGTTCAGGTAACAAGCCCAAGTAACAGTTCAAGTGATAACTTGCAAGTAATTAACAATGCCAACAAAATGTAAACAGAAACGATTCAAGGATATGGTAGCTCTCAAGAGCTAAGTTCCACTTGCTTTGCCAGTTCATTCGTATATCTTCCCGTGATGACTCTCCGTCAACTGGGTTGATATTTCCAAACCGTAGATCACCACTTACTTCTCATCCATCCACTATAAACCGCTTCAGGCCCGCACGACATTTATGAGGCGATACTCCACGAGTATGCCAAGCAAGATCTCTCCAATAGATCAAGCTTATCATGTGAATCTCATGGCTCACCGAGGTTCCCGACCAAGCCCATGCCGGCTCGAGTTCCAAGGTCGGCCTATGAGTTTGGGCGTCCCCCATGTGTCATGTAAGTGTCGAGGAGATTCACTCCAATGACGTATGCAGCCATAGCATACCATATCATGTATTCAAGCATTTGACAGGTCTAAGCATGTATTTCAGGTCATGTAAATCAGGCAAACCATGTTAAGCATGAGTCATTTGTTTCAAATAAGAACGAGTGCGATAAAATACACACTCGACTCCATTTTTCAAAACCAAGTAGGCTAAGCATGTAATCAGGTAAGCCAAGCATGAATCAAGTCCATAGAGTTCAAGTAGTCATACACTTGACACTCACCGAGCAAATCAAGAAGAAATATTTTCTGAAAGTTCAAGTGTGCACGGTAGGATCCTCTTGAAGGTCCTCGTGTGCGCCTGGGCAAATAATAACGAATTATCATTCATATATCCTAATTATCAAGGAAGATTGTACACTAGTACAATCTAAGGAAATTCCACGAAATCGAACCTCAATTTCTAACAATAATAAGCTACCCATAAGCATAATCAAGCTCTTAAGTGTGAGTTGGCCTTCAATGAATAAGATTTGAAGAGTGGATCATAGTTACCTTACTTGTGTGCTAAAAGGTCAGATTTTGGTGTCCAAAAGCCCCAAGAAAAATCGTGAATGTGCAGCTCCTTCTTTGTCCAAGTGAAGAGCTAAGTATGTGTGAAATTTTGGTTGAATTTGGTGGAGTTTGTAGAGGAAATGGTGGAAGTTTTCGGTTGCTCTTTGCTGCAGTTGCTAGCCGTCCATGAAGCTTGCAGATATGAATGTTAGTCTGATTTCTTTTTGCGTACAAAGAACGCCGACCGTCTAATATTTTAAGTACGAAAAATTTAATTGCAACTAGTGCCCTAATCGCGCGTTTTGTGTTCAATTTTCCTTAAGTTTGTTGCACTAGTGCACTAAATCTCTAGGGCACTTACATTCTTATAAATATTATTCATTCTTAATTGTCCCAAAATAATTGTCCAAAGTCCCTCAATTAAGCGTGCACGTGAAAACACATATTTCCAATTTAGGCGCAATAAAATGAAACTTTCGAGAAATTCTTATAACGATCATACCACTAGCTATCACTTGTGTGCTTAAACCTAAAATTGTCTATTTTAGAACCATTGTATATGTCTCAAATTTTTGAACTTATTTTATTCCCAATTGGCTAAAGTTTTTGGACACGTTTTCACCTTTTCACTAAACAAACTTATAAGAAAATAATTTTTGAAACGAGACACTTTAAAAATATAACGAAACTATAAAACCATGTACTTAGGTCTAATAAGGCTAGAAAATATTATTCGTGGCAAAAATCTAAATAAATAATTAATTTAGCCAAAATTAGGGATTTTAAAATAATAATTTTACGAGTCCTCACGTGAATTGAGTATTAATTCCTCCATTAACCTTTCTTAATCTATTATTGATCGTTCTTAATTCTCCAATAAATAATGCACTCTCGATTCAAGTATGGCCTAGAAAAACGTGCGCCCGTCGTTCCGGACTAAACAAATTTTCGAAAAGCGAATTTTTCAACAAAACGCTTTAAAAATATAAAGAGGCGTCATTCCATATAAATGGATTTAAAATGGTCGAAATAAATAATTCGAAAAAAATGAGTGAATAATCATTTAAATATTCCAGTAATATTCTATAAAAATAAGAAAATTTTCGGGTTCTCACACAAGTATTTACTTTGTTAGATCTGAAGCAATACTAAATTCTTGAAGCTAGGAAGGAGTGTTAAAGATAGAGTGGCAATGAAGATTATCAAATAGGTGACTTGATTGTTTTCTTTAATTTGCTACTTTTAAAGTTCTCTTATTTGACTTTGAAAGTTTTGAACTTTGGATCTTTCATTATAGAAATTTGTGCTTTCTAAGCTTAGCATATGTTGTTCTAAAATATTTAAGTGATTTGAGTTTTTGTACGGTATGATGGTGTTATTGAGGTAATGTGTTTGAGCACAAGCTAGGATAGTGATGAGTTCTGACCTTGGATGGTAGCTATTAAGTCTTGCAATTTACAGTATTTACTGCTTTAACAAGCATTTACATGACAATGCCAATGCTTTTCAGTAGCTTTTAGTTGTTTTTGTGATTGGAGTAATTTGGGTATATGGATTTTGATAATGTTAATATTGTTTATGCAGTACCACTCCATGTATTCACCCTCTAGTGGTTTGGAGAAATGGGTTGTAAAGATTGAGCAACCCATAGACATCTTTCTCACGATACCCATTGCATCAGTTTCTCTTATATAAATGAGGTACACATTGCCTCAGTTTCTCCTATATGAATGGATAGCTCGACACCTTGTATCGTGATTGATATTACTTTGGTTATCATACTTGACACGTTGTATCCTCTGCTATTCATTACTTTGGATTGTTTTGGTTTAGTTCAGTTTAGTTTATTTGAATGTTTAGCTAAGCAAGCGAATCAAAGTTGCTTTTCCTTTAGTGTTGTGCTTGTAGTCTTATCAATTGGTTATATTGTTCATAGCAGTACTTATAGCAGTGCTTGTTGCATTATCAACTTGTTATATTATTCCTTTGAAGCTGAAGTTTAATAGCAGTACTTATTTCTTGAGCTGATTTTGTGCAATAGTTTGGGGCTGATTTTGGCTTTATTTGGGGCTGATTTTGAATGTACAGCTTTAATTATTGAGGTTCTTATTGGATTGCATATTTTAGCTAAGCAACCTAAGTATTGTTACTTCTCCTTCAGTGTTTTAATCCTCCCCTTATCTACTTGTTTTACTACTTTATTACAGATAAATGCTATTTAAACAAAATTTTGGGAGCTATCTATAGCAATGACTGAAGGACGTTGAAGACAAAGTCGCAATTTCTCATGCAAGGGTCCGCTTGGATGTTCTTTGGTTTCTTAAAATTAATTCCTTTTGTAAACGTACCTTATGAATATGTGATATTTGGGCACAATGTTACTTTTATAGACCTTTGTTGGGTAATGTGCACCTCAATATGATATTTGAGTACTTAATATGATATATTGGCATGTAGCCTAATGCAACAACTACTTTTGATTATCGATTGGTTAGATTACTTCTTTCAATTTATTTTAGATAAATAATTTACCATGCTAAATTGTGAGTTTATTGAAATGGAGCTGACAATGTTAAAGATCACTAATGACAAAAAAGAGCTGTTGCATAACAAGAATCAAAAACTCTTTGTGACAACAAAGCTTGTCACTAACTCCAAACTTCAATTGTGACAACAAATATTGTCAATAAGTAGATCATATAAGTGACAACTTCTGACACTTTTAGTGACAACCTTGATCAATACATCTCTGACAACATGCTAAGTCGTCAATAAAACTCTTTCATATTGTTGTCACTAATGACAACCATTCACTGAAGACTTTTGTGTTGTCACTATATACTTTTACCGACGGAGATATAGTGACGACTCTGTGACGACTCAAAATTCATCAATAAAAGTCATTAGTGACAACATTTCTATGTCTTGTGATGACATATTGTTGTCACTGATGACCAAATTTCTTGTAGTGTCCTTTTTCTTAAAGACTTACTTGCAACCAACTATTTTCTTATTTGACGGCGGCTTTACAAGAACCCAAGTTTCATTTTGATGAAGAAATTCAATTTCTTCGTTCATCACAATCAACCACTTTGCAGAATCATCACAAGAAACTGCTTCTGAATAGGTGGAAGGCTCACCAACTGCATCAGTTTCTTCTGCAACAGACAAAGCATATGCAACTAAATTTGCATATCTTTGTGGTGGTCGAATGTCTCTCCTTGGTCTATCTCTGGTTATGAAATATTCCTCTTCATCTGAAGTATCTTCAACAGTAGATTCAGGTACATCTACTGGCATTTGTTGAATAAAAGATTTGATCTGAGAAGAACCAGAACTGCTAACATCAAGCTCCACCTGCCTCTGTGTACTATCAATAGTACAAGGACTAGAAGACTCATTCTTGGAAGATAACATAGGCAATTCATCAAAAGTAATATCTCTATTGATTATAATATTTGGAAATTTGAGATCAAGACACTATAATCTGTATCCTTTCACCCCAGAAATATACCCAAGAAAAATGCACATTTTAGCCCTAAACTCCAATTTTTCATCATTCACGTGCATGTATGCTGGACACTCAAAATCTTTTAAATAGGAATAATCAGCAAGAGTATCTGACCAAACTTCCTCAAGAGTTTTGAAATCAAGAGATGCAGAAGGAGAACGGTTGACAATATAATAGGCCATATTGATCGTCTCTGCCCAAAAGTCATTTGTCAACTTGCTCTCTCCAAAAGCGTTCTGTTCATACGTTCGACCACACCATTTTGTTGAGGCGTCATTCTAACAGTGCGATGTTAAACAATTCCTTCATTTTTACAAAATCTATCAAATTCACCTTCACAAATTTCCATGTCATTATCTGTTCTCAACTGCTTAACATATTTTCCTGTTTGTTTCTCTATCAAAACTTTTTATTGCTTGAAAGTTAGGAAAACATCATTTTTATGCTTAAGAAAATATATCCAAACTTTTCTTGAATAATCATCAATGAAAGTCAACATGTACCTGGCACCACCTTTAGAAGGAGCACGAGAAGAACCCCATATATCTGAATGAATGTAATCAAGAGTATCTTTTGTCTTGTGAATTGCTGGTGAACTGAAGTTGACTCTTTTCTGCTTCCCAAAAATATAATGTTCACAGAATTCCAATGGCCCGGTACTTTTTCCACAAAGAAGTTCTTTTTTGCTCAGTATACCCAAGCCTTTTTCGCTCATGTGCCCCAAACGCATATGCCATAATCTGGTGATGTCTGTATCTGACAAAGATGATGTTGAAACAGTAGCAGCACCTATAACAGTAGATCCCTGCAAAATATATAAAGTATCAGATCTGTGTGCCTTTATAAACAACAAGAGCACCTCGAGTGATTTTGAGAACTCCACCTCCACCTGAATACCTGCACCTAATAGACTCAATAGTGCCCAGAGAGATGGGATTTTTCTTCAAATTTGGAACTTGTCTAACATTTGTGAGTGTTCTCACAATACCATCGTACATTTTAATCCGGATTGTGTCTTTGCCAACAACTTTACAAACGACGTTGTTACCTATTAAGACAACTCCACCTTCAGTTGATTCATATGTTAAAAACCAGTCCCTATTGGGACACATATGATATGAACAATCCGAATCTATAATCCATTCATTATTAGACCTAAAATTATTTTTCGTTGCACAGAAAATGGTTCCATCATTCTCATCAATTGCAATACTAGCTTCGGTGGTCTCACTCTTTTTCTCCTTTTGCTTTTCTTTATTTTTCAATTTAAAACAATCAGAGATAACATGACCCTTTTTTTACAATAGTTGCACACTATATTTTTATGTCTGGATTTGGATCTACTTCTATTTTCTGTATTTCTCTTTTTAGATCTACCCCGAACAAACAAGCCATCGGTTTGACTCCCACTTGTTTCTCCAATAATATCCCTATCTATCTGCTCTATAGATTTTAATGTAGATTTAATTTTTCGATACGAAATTGTTTCCTTTTCATAAATCATAGTATCACGGAAATACTTCAAGGACTGGCGAAGGAAACACAAAAGTAATAGGGTCTGATCTTC